GCTGTCGCCAGAGGTAGGGCTTGCAGAGATGGTCGCCCGTAATTCTGTCGGAGTGTTATATGTTTGGCTGACAATCAGTCTAGGAGAAGGACAACTCTGTATTCAAAGCCCGAGGGTTTCGTGTACGAACCAGAGTGGTCTACGGCTGTCGGTGTAGGGCTTGCAGAGATGGTCGCCCGTAATTCTGTCGGAGTGTTATATGTTTGGCTGACAATCAGTCTAGGAGAAGGACAACGTTGTATTCAAAGCCCGAGGGCTTAGTGTACGAACCAGAGTGGTCTACGGCTGTCGGTGTAGGGCTTGCAGAGATGGTCGACCGTAATTCTGTCGGAGTGTTATATGTTTGACTGACAATCAGTCTAGGAGAAGGACAACTCTGTATTCAAAACCCGAGGGTTTAGTGTACGAACCAGAGTGGTCTAAGGCTGTCGGTGTAGGGCTTGCAGAGATGGTCGCCCGTAATTCTGTCGGAGTGTTATATGTTTGGCTGACAATCAGTCTAGGAGAAGGACAACTCTGTATTCAAAACCCGAGGGTTTAGTGTACAAACCGGAGTGATCTTCAGCTGTCGGTCAAGGCGTTGGAGAAATCGTCACACGTAACTGTGTCGGGGAGTTATAGGTTTGGTTGGCAACCAGTCTAGATGGACAACTCTGTATTCAAAACCCGAGGGCTTAGTATACGAACCGGAGTGATCTACGGCTGGCGGTCAAGGGCTTGGAGACATGGTCGCACATAACTCTGCCGTGGTGTTAGAGCTTTGATTGGCAGCCAGTCTAGGAGAAGAACACTCTGTATTCGAACCGGATCGTATATAAGCGCGTGTAAGTGCGGCTGGGGGCTGTGTGTGAATCCAAATTAGCACTAAAACTCCTACTATGGATTTACCAGTCCGAATGAAGATGATTATAGTAATGGTATTGTTCATTTTATCTATACCTATTCCAATACACCATCGGATTTTGGAACTACATGTTACGAACTCATCTAAAATATATTCGTGGTATTGAAATTGTCATACTTGCTTGATTTTGGCATCTCGAAATGTACGCTTGGCCCGCTTCTGTTCGCATGTTGACGAACCCGGCTCAACAGGCTAGGTGAATACCGCAACAAGTACAGGTAACATGGGCAGTACCATTATCATACTTATTTTCTTCAAGGTTTTCCGGCACGCTTATAAGTTCTGCAATGTCCTGATCACTGTTTTACTTTCAATGTATAGATGAAAACAACTGGAGAATTAACAAGAATTAATTGAACCGTTTTATATATATATATATATATATATATATATATATATATATATATATATATATACAGGTGTCCATAAATTTCAGGTTTATAACTTTATATTTATATAATTATAATTTATAACTTTATTTGTATTTGCGATAGAAATAATTTGTGAAAAAGGATTAGAAAGAAGTAAATCTATATTTTTTAAGGTTTTATTGAAATTTTATTTAAGCTTCCACATGTCCTCCATCATTAGCAATACAAAGGGTAATACGATTTTGCACTTCACGGAAAACATTTGCCAACTGATTTACAGTAATGCCTGAAATCACATTTGTTATTTTAGCTATACTCAAAAATAGGTACATGAAACTTGATAATATTTTTTACAGATTATCTCTATCGCAAATACAAATACAGTTATAAATGTTTTAAAGTACACACGAACTTTATGGACACCCTGTATATATATATATATATATATATATATATATATATATATATATATAAGTATATAATTGGTGTACACGGAATGAATTCCAATAACAAACAATTACTATTCTTAAAAGAGTACCCAATACAAAGTAGAGCAGATATAATTATTTATTTTTAAAAAATTTATAACATAAATGTTATAAAATCACTACAAAAATAGCCATTTTGTTTCAACACCCCCGGTGTCTTAACATCATCACTTGATAAAATTGATACAAATAACTTCAACCAAATAGATAAGATTAACAGCATCAGTAAATCAATTACTGATAAACTACAGATTAGTGATCGGGTCAGAAAACTACAAACTAAGGAAGCCTATGTCTTGTTAAAAGACCATAAACCCGAATTCAAAATTAAGCCATCTACTAGGCTTATAAACCCTACTAGACCAGAAATCGGTAGAATTAGTAAGACTATCTTGGAAAGAACCAACCACTCCATAAAAAAACACCCTTGGACTACTACAGACATTCAACATCATCACTTGATAAGACACCAGGGTGTTGAAACAAAATTTTAAATAAAATAAATATATATATATATATATATATATATATATATATATATATATATATATGTGTGTGTGTGTGTGTGTGTGTGTGTATATATATATATATATATATATATATATATACACGCACGCACACACACATATATATATATATATATATATATATATATATATATATATTGGGTGATCCTGGTCTATAGTTTTCAGGGAAGCATTCTCGGGAGTTTGTTCCGTCAAGTAACAGATCTAGGGAAGAAGCTGTCTGAGTGGATCTTTTTATCAAAGAATCACGAAGGGAATGAGAATGGTTTGCCACCGTGAGCACGACATGGTGGGGGGGTCCCAGCTATAAATGTCCGAACTGGATAATAATAGGAATATAGTAGTGAAAGGCTGGTGACGATTAGTCTTTGGTCTAATGGATACACAGTCAAGGATAATTAATCACCGACAAGACAGCATAAGTGTTTTTGCGGACTGTGTCGAGGCAGGAGAGCGAAGATTGTGCAGCTCCAGCCCAGATATGACAACAAAGATGTATTCTTGGTCTGTTTTGCCTCTTATAAAGATATAACATGACGGATATTAAAATTAAAAGGAAGTATCCCCTGTTCTCAGGGATTTAGTTTTGACTAAACTATTTTATAATACGAGATTCATACCCCGGGGTTTAGTCTGGATTCGTCTAATCTATACCCGGATCTATTCTGTTAGTGTGATAATCTCGTGGGCGGTAATAGGTTCACAGGAGAAAAAAGACACAATTGATTTATATGTTTATAATTTATATGCTAAACATTTACATTTACATGTATATTCAATGTTTTTTAATAGTGATGGTTTACACGAATATTCGAGCCGACGCCCCTAAGAAACCCTTTGTGGTCCTCCTGTTGCGAAGGAATTCTTGTAGTTGCACATAGCGTCGACGAATTCTTCTTTGAGATAGTGGGGAGGGGGGCAACAGCATACTGCTGGATAATGTGACTTTTTTTCTGACTTTTTTTTCTTTTACCTGGATTTGATAATCTGGGCTACACATGGTTAGGACTGTTCTAGTGAATCCAGGAAGCAAAAAAAAAAAAGTCAGAGGTAAAATTGTAACAGGAAAAACGTCCCAAGATAAAAGTCACGGGGGTGGGGGCGGATTTGGAAAAATAACATTATCCAACGAGCAGTCTCCTTGAAAGAAGAGTTCGTCAATGTTATGTGCAGCTTCAAGACACGCCCCCGCAAATTGCGTGTTACTCGGAGGAAAGACCACAATACTGTAGCAGTTTCTTCGTAGCATCGACAGCAATAGGTAAGTACCTACATAGGTGACCGCTTGAGAATAACAGGTGCTGTAAGCTTGGACGTGCGAGCGGTGTAATGGGTAATGGCTCGGAATTGTTAATCGGAGTACCGAGTTTCAATTCCAGTTGGTTTCGTTATATTTATTTACGCGCAAATACCCTTCGGAATGGTAGACATCAATTCCTTCTCCCCCTACTAGCTATGGGTTGAGTAGTAAGACTTGTATCACTTAATCATTATTATCTAAAAAAATCCTATAATCTAAAAATATTTTCTGGCTTTAAATAACCTGCAAAAGGGTTGATAAGCCGTGAAAAACGAATGTCTCGGCAGAAATACCCGTCTTAAGCATCAGCATTAAAAATGCATACAAATCTAATTATTTAAAAAAGTTATAAACATAAATCAGTATCTGTCTATATTTATGAGATGAGGTATTATGTACACTATTTACATTATTCGGACTATTGTCCTCATCTTTGTCGCCATGTTTATCACAACGGACACATGGCACAGTGGATAAAGGCGTTAGTTAGATCCAGTGACAAAACCCAAAGAGTGTGAGTTCAATACCTAGTTAAAGCAGTGGAAAACATTTAGAGAGGAATTAACAGGAGATAACTGATAAGTGACATCCATTAGACATGGCACGTGGAACTAGAACAGTCTACCTCAGTGAGCGAAATAAAGGGTTCAGTTCGACATTCCAACCACCTGAAGAAGGCATGAGCGTACAACGGCCGAAACGTTGTGATAAACATGGCGACAAAGATGAGGACAATAGTCCGAATAATGTAAATAGTAAACATAAATCAATTTTGACTTTTTCTGTGAATTTTTCCCTGTCTCCGTGATATAAGCCATCAGTCTTCCATATTTATTTATTAATTCATTTTTACTAAACTAACCTTCAAATAAAAAAAAATGAAAACCGTCTCTTTGACACTGGAAATTATAGCAAACTTATCATCGCACCCTAACCCTAATTTATTTAGGTGACAACGCCCACCTCCTCTTTGAGTTCACATTTATGGGTATCTGCCTACAACCCTTCTCTACTCTCTTCACTTTCATCTTGTTAGTCTCTTGATGTTTATCTACTCCCACATCTCGCGTGATTTATGACCGCAGTGTCATCTTCGTTCGATTAAGCGTAGACAAATCACGTCATATCTCACCAATGACGTCACACCATGGTGGTATGGCATTTCGATGTCATAAAACTTTCTTTGGTTAAGCGATGGCACTGAATATATTAAAACAATTTGGGAGACATTTTTCCCACAATGTCTGTACTGGAAATGGAATTAAAAATAAAGAGAAAAAGATTAAAAAAACAAACAAAAAGAAAACCAGAAAAGAACAAGAGAAAGATAAAAAAAAAAAAAAAGAGACGAAAATGGAAAAGAAAAGAGAAAAAGAGGAGAAAGAGAAAAAGAGAGGAAAAAGAAAAGGATTAAACGAAAAATAATGAGAAAAAGGGGAAAAAAAGAAAAATATGAAAAGAGAGGAAAAAGAAAAGGACAAAAAAGAGAAGAAAAACATAAAACGGGAAGAAAATGAAAAAGTGACGAAAAAGATTAAAAAAGAAAAAATGAAAAAAAGAAAAGGATAAAAAAAGAGAAGAAAAATATAGAAAGAGAAGAAAATGAAAAAGCGAAAAAAGGGAGAAGAAAAGAAAGATTAAAACGAAAAGAAAGAGGAAAAGAGAAAAAGAGAAGAAAAAGAGAAGAAAAAGATGAAAACAGAAGCAAAGGAGAAAAAGAAAAGGAAAAAAAAAGAGAAGGAAAGAAAAAATATAAAAAGAGAAGAAAAAGATAAAAAAGAAGAAAAAGAAAGAGAGAGGAAAAAATAAAAGGATAAAAAGCAAAGAAAAAGAAGAAAGTGAAGAAAATATAAAAAGTGAAGAAAAAAGAAAAGAAAAAGAAATGGATAAAAAGAAAAGATCAAAAAGAAAACGAAAAAGAGAAGAAAAAGATAAAAAGAAAATAAAAAAATAAAAAGTGAAGAAAAAGAAATATACAGTGTAACCCGGATATAAGAGACCCGGATATAAGAGAAACCCGGATATAAGAGAGATTTTCTCTGGTCCCAAATTAGAGCCTGTGTTAATGTATATAAAATAGACCAAACCCGGATATAAGAGAAACCCGGATATAAGAAACTTCTTCTCCAGTCCCAACAACTCTTTTATATCCGGGTTACACTGTATATAGAATAGACCAAACCCGGATATAAGAGAAACCCGGATATAAGAGAAACCCGGATATAAGAGACTTCTTCACCGGTCCCGATAACTCTCTTATATCCGGGTTACACTGTATATAAAATAGACCAAACCCGGATATAAGAGAAACCCGGATATAAGAGACTTCTTCTCCGGTCTCGGCAACTCTCTTATATCCGGGTTACACTGTATATAAAATAGACCAAACCCTGATATAAGAGAAACCCGGATATAAGAGACTTCTTCTCCGGTCTCGGCAACTCTCTTATATCCGGGTTACACTGTATATAAAATAGACCAAACCCGGATATAAGAGAATCCCGGATATAAGAGAAACCCGGATATAAGAGACTTCGTCTCCGGTCCCGGCAACTCTCTTATATCCGGGTTACACTGTATATAAAATAGACCAAACCCGGATATAAGAGAAACCCGGATATAAGAGACTTCTTCTCCGGTCCCGGCAACTCTCTTATATCCGGGTTACACTGTATATGAAATAGACCAAACCCGGATATAAGAGAAATCCGGATATAAGAGACTTCTTCTCCGGTCCCGATAACGCTCTTATATCCGGGTTACACTGTATATGAAAAAGGGAAGAAAAAAGAAAAAGCGAAAAAATGAAACAGAGAAAAATGAAAACAAAATGAAAAGAAGAAGGAAAATAAAAAAAACAGCGTGCAAAGGGAAAAAGAGAAAAAAGAAGAAAAAGAAAAAGAGAAAAAAAGCAGAGAAAATTATAATAAAAAAAAACATTGAAAGAAAAAAAAATTAAAAAAAAAAGAAAGAAAGAAAAATAAAACAGAAGTGATGTTGTTAACAGACCTGACCTACTTATCAGGAATACGTTTCTGCATCTATATTCAAATTTACCAATTCATTTCAACCAAACCGATATATACATGCGCACACAACTTCCACATTCGCGTGCATACGCACGTAACACACAAAGATTCATATACACGTGTCTCTCGGCTGCACACTTGACATTTTCAAGGTAGGAATCAGAAAGGAAGAAGCCCAGACGTTGGTGCGTACTTATTACACTTAGCATTAATATTTCCCGTACAGGCAAAAAGGGTCGGTAAAAAAGAAAAAAAGCTTCCAATGACGACAACAACCTCTCTTCTCCCTCTCCTAGCTCTCCAATTAGGAGACTGTATTTTGACAAGGGAATTGGTGGACGGGGATTGGTCCACTTCTAAATTGTGACGCTCTTTGTTCCCTCTTTAAAAAAAAGTTAATATTCATGTCGATTGTAGATTTAGTATTTGGTGGGAGCAGCAACTGTCGTAATAATAGACCTACTTATCTATCAGGAGAGAGAAGGTAAAGGAAAAGAAAATAATAACAATGATTATATATATATATATATCATAAAGAAACAATTTATACAAAGAATTAAATAGCAATGTTAATGTGATTAATGGCGAAATCACTTCGCTAACATGATTTAATGAGACATTAACTTACTTTTAATTCCTTGAATAATAAGATCCTTATATTCGAGTAGTTAATCGATTTGAACAAGAAATCTAGCGTCGAGGCATCGCAAAATCCAACATATATATTCAATTGCCAATAAATAACATAATTAAAAAAAATCTTCAGTCTACACATATTTCGGCTAAGTGTTTGCCTATGTATGGGAAAATTGCTCCCTGAAGATGACAGTTTGAAATTGTCGAAAGTACCCGGCAATTGTCTTCCATCTAATATAAAGATATTATTATTCAAGGAATTGATAGTAAGTTAATGTCTCATTAGTCATGTTAGCGAAGTGATTTCGCCATTAATCACATTAACATTGCTATTTAATTCTTTGTATAAATTGTTTCTTTATTATATAAAATATAATTTGCACACTCTAATATATATATATATATATACATATATATATATTTATACTCTAATATATATATATATATATATATATATATATAGAGAGAGAGAGAGAGAGAGAGAGAGAGATGGAGGGAGAATAAATCCTAACAGGCCAGGCAAACCTACCTAGGTTTCATATAAACGGATCTTCAGGGTAAATTGGCTTTCACCTGAAGATCCGTTTAGGTGAAACCTCGGTAAGTTTGCCTGGCTCGTTAGGATTTATACTAATTTACCGCTCTACATAGCGTATTGAGCACTCTACGTTTTTGTTTTGTCTTTATACTCGCTTGTTTTTTTTTCTTTGGACTAAGGACTTAAGACACTTGACGATTTGTTTCGCCTTGTTCTGATGCTTTTAGTTCTTTCTTTTTTTTATTTCTAATTTTTCCTCAGGTACCAATTTGCCCTCATGTGTCTACAAGTTGAGTCAACCGAGGTTTTTCAAGGAGTAATATTGTTAATATACATACATACATACATACATACATACATATATATATATATATATATATATATATATATATATATATATATATATATATAATATATTGCTGCCACATATGATCCGATTCTCCTGTATTTTTATAGATTATTGATGAAATTCATAAAAGAATAAAGCAATATTACTGCTCCAGTTTCCAGTCATTTTCCTACCACCATAATGTAACTTCCCTATGCATTTTTTTTTTATAAATACTTTCAATTTTAATTGTTCGGATGAACTCTCATCTATGGTACTTAGAATTTATGAATTTAAACCCAATACTAGATTGGTGTCATGATCTCATCATTTTACATTTGAAATGTCTATATGTAACTGTATATTCTTTGCTAACAGGTTCTTTTCTCGCACTTCTCACTTGCGAAACTCTGTTCCGACTCCATTCTTTCTAGTCAAGTTTGATACTGAAAAACTGAAATGCAACGTCAATCGTTATCGACTGTCTTCATGAGTACTCTTTTATTATTCTAAGTCCTTAATAATGTTTCATTTTTTTTTCTTATTGTTCCACACACAGTAACCCCTTTGTGCCTTAGTGGCTTTACTATCTTTCATGAAGTGAAATAATTATATATATATATATATATATATATATATATATATATATATATATGAATGTCTATTATGTCAGATCATGAACCGTTCTAAACTTCGCACGTTTGCTTTAATTTCGGGCGAAAATAAAGACAAAAATTATCCAAAATTTGGATATTTTTTATAAAGCAGTCCCTTGATCTAAACTTTCACCTCACATGAGCCATCTCCAGATTGGTTATGTGGACATTTAAACAAAGCTATTCACCAGCGAAGATGCTATGCGACGATAATGGTAGCGGAATATAGTTGGAATTCGAGTCGAATAAAATTCGGGTTCGAATTCCAGTCGAATCCATTACATTCACTTACGTGCTAATACCCTTGGGAAAGGTATGAATCTTCTTCTTCTCCCCTCCAGCTATGGATAAATAGCAGGACAGACTGAGTTCTATAGCCTTGGATGGCAACTGGGCTATCAGAAGGACAACTCTGAATTCAAAACCTGCGTAGGGTCGTTTGGGGGACCTTGTGGCGTGTAGTGTACCAGATCTCTGTGTTCGGCCCTTCAGTGAGGATGGTTCTGCACAAAGCCTTCACCACTATAATCAAATCTCAGGTGCTGGTTTCGGGCTGTTGGTTCCGAGAAACTGAGCTGCTTGACCCTCATACGTCGAATACGACGGGACGTATATACGTGTGGTGGGGTCTGTGTAAAATTATGATAGGTAAAAATTGCACATCAACCTAAACAAATATGTTAGCTCTATCTCTGATATTGAGCACTTTCTAATAATTACCGCGCATATAATATATAAATAATACACACACACACACACACACACACACACATATATATATATATATATATATATATATATATATATATATATATATATATATATATATATATGTCAAGTATGTGATGCAGTTCAATTTACATTACATGAATCATTCATACAAAAAACAGATATAGAATTTAAATGTACTTCATTAAATTTGTTTGCGAAGATGTATTCTCGCCATTTAAATCATTAACTTCTATATCTGTTTTTTGTATGAATGATTCATGTTATATATATATATATATATATATATATATATATATATATTGAACAATAAGAAAATTAAAAATTAAAAAATTAAAATCTTTGGACACACTGGGTTGTAGATTAATATTCTTTCGTTTTTTTATTATTATTCCATGTGATTTATCACGATGTAGAATTAACTACAGAGAAACCTATAAAACAACACCCGTATAGGGTAAACCCCAGGAAAATGGAAATCATAAATAGAGAAATCGATTATATGCTGAAAAACGATATAATCGAACCCAGTCAGAGTCCCTGGGCATCTCCACACTTTTCACATATATATATATATTACGATTTATAAAGTTTTTATATATCAAGAACAATTTTATGGGGGAATAAAATAAAAATGCTACTTCAGTTAAAAGAAAAAATAGTTTATTAAGACTAAAACGCTTAGAAAATCTGTGGATAATCAACAGTAAATTTACGTATAAGTTCTTACAACGTTTTAACTTTTAATGACAGATTTATCACAATGAGGTTTATTTAATAACAAAAGTAATGGGAACAGAAATAAAAAGAGAAAGAATCTAAATGAAATCGTCTAGATATATACCCAATATATATATATATATATATATATTTATTTATTTATTATGCAGTTTTACATTAGAACATGCACATACCCACTACAAAACTGTACATCTTGTTTCAATGTTAAAAAAACAAAAACTTTTTTAAGACTTTATCAGGTAGGGATGAAACGTTAGAAAAGTTCTTTTTAACGTTGAAACAAGATGTACAGTTTTGTAGTGGGTATGTGCATGTTCTAATGTAAAACTGCATAATAAATAAATATTTACGGCTCTACTTTGTATTGAGCTCTGTTTGAAATTAATTTTTTTAACGCTGAAATATGACTCTTCTTCGTTCTTTTACATTTGGATACCCAATATATATATATATATATATATATATATATATATGATAAAGTTTGAAAAAGTTTTCGTGCGATGCGTTTCATCCTTTAGGACTTCATCAGAAGTTTCTGTTTATATTGATGCGACTATAAGCTGTGATCTTAAATTTAAATATTCTTAATGTGTTATTTTTAATATATATATTTATATATATATATATATATGTGTGTGTGTGTGTGTGTGTGTGTGTGTGTGTGTGTATTAAGTAAAAATAGAGATTAAAAACTTTTTGCAAAGCTTTAATTTTTATTTTTCCTTTTATTATTTTCATTTTCCGAAGCTCCACTAAAATAAGTGGATGAGCCAACATCACAAAAGGCATTTTTTTTTCATTGGGCTTAATATTTGGGCCAGCAATTTATATTAGATTCCTCAGTGTCTACTGGGTTTTATATACACACACACATATATATATATATATATATATATATATATATATATATATATATATATTATATATCCGCTAACCTTCTACTTTATATATATTTTTCAGTGCTACTATAGTATAATATTTACCAAGCCATTTGCAATCTACCGTTAATGACGATGCACTCGTTATTGGTGGAAAATGCTCAGGAAAACGATGACAGTTTATTGCATTTTGTTTTTTAAATGACATCAAATCACTTTACAAACATTAAAATCAATATTTGATGATTTTTTTTTTATTGTATAAAGAAATTTTTAATGATTTTTAATACATAACCTGTTCACTGCCTTTAACTCTAATCCTTACTCCTAATCCCTAATCCTAACCCTAATATATTTCATACTTCCAACAGTTGGTAAATATCATACCGTAGTAGGAAATGAATAGCAGACATTATAATATTGGAGAAAATGAAGAGTTGATATCATACTAGAATAGAAAATGAATAGTTATGTCACCG